CTGTCAATATATATATATATCGTCAAATAGAACTGCCTGGTAAACCGTAGGCAGAGAGGGAGAAGAGGACAACAAACGAGGGGCTGTGACAAACTGTTTCGTCGGAGTTTCACCGACTCATCAGGAGGCTGTATGTATATTGCCCAGCCGGGCAAGCGGTCCCGGGTCACACTGGTAGCCTAGCTTTTTCTTGCTTTTTTCTTGCTTTTTTTTTTGCTTTATTTTTTGGAAGGACAGTTCCACCTGACATATTTAGAGTCTTTTTAGACCATTAACATTTTTTATAACCGTGTTCGTCAAGGACTTCCGCCTTGGAACAGTTAAATTCGGGTTTAGGATTCTGGTTATAGTTTTGACACGCAGGGCTGAGGCTTTCAGCTTTAGGGTTAAGGCTTTAGGGTCAGGCGTTGAAGGTCTAGAGCTTAGGGTTTAGGGCTTAGGGTGCAGTGACTCCCAGTTTAGCACGTAGGGTTTAGGGCTCATAGCTTAGCATCTGTGGTTCCCAGCTGAGGGGGTTAGGGATCAGGAGTGAGGGGTTAGGGTTTGGAGTTGTGGATTGTAGGGTGATGGTTTAGGGTTTGAGGTTTCCTGTTTAGGGTTTGAGGTTTCCTGTTTAGGGTTTGAGGTTTCCTGTTTAAGGTTTAGGGTTTAGAGCTGTTGATTGCAGGGTTTAAGGCTAGGGTTTAGGATCTAGGTAACCTACCCCTTCTCAAAGACGAGAGTCGTGCAGGGTTTGAGGCTAGGGTTTAGGATTTGGGCAACTTACCCCTTCGCAACGACGAGAGTCGCACCCAGCTCTTTGATCTCCGTAAATAACCTCCTAAGACTTCCAGGGCATTCTCCTCGTCGAATTGTGCGGTACTGTCTCTGCTGTTTACTTCCCTCATCTCCTTGTCTTGCTCACCGTGATGGCGACGGAACCCAACCCTACGATGAAGACGATCATCCTGATGACGGTAATGCTCAAGACCCTCCAACTTTCCACCTCCTTGACTTAATTTATTCCTGTCATTATTAGTATTATTATTATTATTGGTCCAGCCTAGATCCTGCATTATCTGAGTACGAGTCCCCAATCCATCCCTTTGCCTAGTTATGGCTTCTATTCGCTTGTGACGTCGTGAGGGCCCCGCATCGCGATCAGCCCCCCCCGTCGAGTAGCAATCCTCGAATCCACCCCCTTTAACAGCTGGACAAGCTAAGGTGTGATTCATTCGCTTCTTGCACTTGCGCAATTTACCGCCTTCATCGCCCTCTGCACGTACAAGGCGCCAATGTGGGACCAGAAGGGTTGATGGAAGGGGCAGCAGTTCAAGCCGACGACATGGCGGCAGCTCTTGTAAGCCACCAGGCAGATTATCCAGATCTAATCTGCAAAAGGAACAAAATGAGAAGACAAAAAAGAAAAAGAAAAACAAGAATGATGAGATGCAAAATTCCGACGAAAAACTTTCTCACAGCCCCTTGGTTGTTCCCCCCCCCCCCCCCCCCTTCCCTTTCCATCAACAGTTCACTAATCTGTACTTTTATCAGCCTCAGACCTCCTCCGTGCACGCATGGATACGAACCGGTGACCTGAGCCTCAAGTGAAGTTTCTTAACCACTACAGCCATGGCATGGTGTACAAAACAGATCCATGCTTGCCGTGATATCCAGCCCACACCTCTGCATCGCTGTAATCTTTTTCAACACGCACACACACACACACACACACACACACACACACACACACACACACACACACACACACGCACGCAGGCACGCACGCACACACACAGAGAGAGAAAGAGAGAGAGACAGACAGACACACAGAGAGAGAGAGAGAGAGAGAGAGAGAGAGAGAGAGAGAGAGAGAGAGAGAGAGAGAGAACACCATACTCAGGCATTCGCAACACAGGCAGTTCTGGCTCACTCTGGCGAGTCTGCCCCCATCCAGCAAGACTGCTTTTTCCAACGGGGCCTTACGCACGGGCCACCACAATCCTGGTCTGATTTCCAGGCTGGTTACCGGGGTAGAGTACAGTCTGTACTTCTATCAGCCTCGGAACCGGCGACCTCAGCCTCAAGAGCTGACGTTCTTAACGACTTCACTAGGTTTTCTTTTGGCAACACAGAACATAATAACAATTTAATAATACTATTTGAGTCTATTTCATCATTATCTACTTTATTAGTGATTACTCCTATGATTATTATGTAATATACATGATGATTAGAGGACAAGGGGAGGGAGGTTTTAGCCAACTTAACGGGTCCAACGTCGTGGTCAGATCGGCAATATATACAATTTAAATGGTGGGTGTTGGTGGCCATTTATTTGGTCTGTGTTCTTTGATGCGCGCCATGGCCAATGGCCATTCATCTGTGTCATCATGGAAGGCAGTAGCAGTTATGATCACATAAGTCACATTGTTGTTGAGACTAAGTCTCATTAGGGGGCAAGGAGGGGGAGGGGGGGGGAACCATCAGAATATAGTATCTACTATCTAGATTTTTAGAACTTGGGGTTCAGGGTTTTACATTTACAGAACTTCAGGGTTTACCCGGTTTAGGATTTAGGGTTCAGGGTTTAGGGTTTAGGGTTTAGGGCTCTGGGGCTGAAGGCTTTTAGGGGTTAAGGGGGTCCAAGCCGTCAAGGGTTTAAGTGTTTTTCGAGGGCTTTTCCCTTGTCGTTAAGGGGGTCCAAGTCGTCAAGGTTTTCGGGTTTTCGGTGTTTTCCCTTGTCGTTTTGGGGGGTAGGAGACTATTTAGGGCTTTAGGGTTGTGGGTTAAGGTGTTTTAGGGTTTAGGCCCTTTAGGGTTTTCAGAGTGTAAGGTGGGGCTTTTCGGATTTTAGGGTCAGCTTAAGTTGTTTTAGAGTTTAGGGGTTTTAGGGTTTTATGGTGCTAAGGGTTTATATTTGACTTACTGTGACCCATAAGCGAGAAGATTGCCGTCAAAAAGTGACGAGATGCGAACGAATCTGTCATTTCGGTCGTTCCTCAAGTCCTGCTGCAAAGAAAGAAAGAGTCGACCACTCGCACGTGCAAGCACACGTATTTAACCGTGAGCTTCCAAAAGTAAATTTCATAAAAAGTTCAACAAATAGATTACCAGCTTATCCCGACTAGGAAATAAATAAGTTTACAATAACAAATGAAAAAGTAAAATAGTAAATAGTAAACAGTAATGTTACTATCCTGGCCAGTTTCGAAGTGCAAATACACAAGGAAAGACAATGCCAGCCAATTGCAAAAGAAATGAAAGAACTTGACAGGAGAAAGAGACAAAGGAAGAAGAAGAAGAAGAAGAAGAAGAAGAAGAAGAAGAAAGAACGAAGAAGAAGAAGAAGAAGAAGATGTACACCAGCAAAAGATCAGTGACAAATCCTCCTCCTCTCGCCAACCAATCTCCTCCTCCTTATCTCCCCCACGCTTATCAACAATAAATAATAAAAATAACAATGAATGGCTGAACCAGAACCAATGTCCGAACCCCTCTCTTCCTGCCAGCACAACAAGCGGTCCACCATAGCCATGTCCTCCACCTTTGTCCACTTCGGACAGGTGATGGCTATGGCGGACTACTAGGGGCCCTGCCCCAATGTTCAAAGACAACGCAAAAGCAGCTATGTCTTCTACACCTCAGGCCACCATGCCTGACTCTGCCCTGAAGACTACTTGATGCAGTGCAACCCCAATTGGGGTCTTCCAGATGGAGCGCCTACCAAGGAGATGAAGATGGCATCCACCATATTCAGGTAAGTACCCCTGGCCACTCTCCTCCCAGTTCCCTTCTTCCTCCTCCTCCTCCCTGGCGCTGGCCACCATAGTCAAGGTGGCAGCACAGGCACTCCTCCTCCCAGCGCTCTACACAGCACTCCTCCGACCAGCGCTCCAGCAGTGTGACACCCAAACTTGCACACCGCAAACGAGGAAGAGCAACTCGCTTTTCCCTCAGATATAGCGGCCAACCCGCTTCTCGGGCGATGAATTCCAAACCGCGCGGTCTCCCAAGCAACCGGTACCATCCTCCTTTCGGAGGGAAACATCATTGCAGGTCTGATATCATCTGCTACAGGCCCTAGACTCAGTATTCTGGACTGGTACCCTAAACCTTAAAAAAAAAAAAGGGTGATGCTCTTCTGGACTGGTTCCCTAAACCCTTTTTTATAAAAAGGGTGACCCCGTTCTGGACTGGTACCCTAAACCTAGGCCTACCAGACTCCTAAAATTCACGCGGGCCCTGGTACTAACGTTTTGTCTTCTTCTGCTTGGCCTACCACTAAAGTGATACCAGGCCTATACTACCACAACTTGAGTGTGCCCTAATCTACTGGCATGTAGGCCTCACAAGCACACAAGCACCCTGGCGGGTCACGCAGACAGTCAAGCACTCAGGCACTCAGCAAAACACACGGAAACCAGCAAGCAAATGCATGCACACACACAGACTTAGAAATCTCAACAGAAGGCGGGAATCTCAGCTATCACAGATTCCAGCGGCAAAACTCAGAAATCAGCAGTTTTCTCAGTCTGTGATTTTGCAGGTTGTAACCCGGTTGTGACAATAAGTAAATAGATAAATATGAAATAATTAAAAATAAATGCACAAGTACTTGTACTACTTGATTGTCAGCTCTGCGAACCGACGGCTTGCACCAAAATTCCAGCAGATGGAGTCCATCCACACATGCGCAGAAAGTTCGATCGGAAGCCACAAAATAGACTTCCAAAAACTCACATGTCATTCATATGCAAGGAATATGAGCAAGAGCGATAGACAGAAAAACAAGTTGCAAAATCACAAAGTAGTCCAGATAGTCATGTAACAACCAGAGAGCACAATGCACCAGGATTCCATCCAAATAAGAGCAATACAATGAGCTGGCGTGCCAATGCTGACGCTCCCTGGTCACACCAACACTGTACTCAATGTCGCTCCTACTGTCTGGCGCCCAGCGCCCAGCCTACTCTACTCAGCCTACCTATCCTATCTACGTTATTGCGACTGGATCACATCGAAGTCGAAGACCAATGTACGTGACATCAACACAAATGCCGACCACCAGCATACACCAGATACGTTCTCTCTCCTCCCCTCATCGCCCCTTGGTTCCCCTCTGCATGCGCCTCCTACCCGAAGACCACCATCGCCATCACCTGCTCGCGCAGCAGCTGCCCGGCTACGGCTGCTGTGTGCCCGCCGCATCAGCAGCGCCCCTCACCTCAGCGCCCGTGCGCGCGTCCGACCCGCAGCGCCCATGCAGACGCTTGCGCAGCAACGCAGCAGCGTGTCCGCATTGGCTGACAAGGCCAGAATGCCCCAGCATGAGGCACACTCTTTCCTATATGGAAAGTGTGCGCTGCTGGCTGGCCTCTGGCCCCTAGTGTCTGCGCCCAGGCCCAGTTTCAGACGCTGGCAGGGGCCTCGTGCAGTTAGGCACGCCCAGGCAGCTTCCCAGCCTCCAAGTGTTTGCAGCATTCTCATTGGCTCGCGACACATGTGTGACGACAATGCTGCTTCCTCATTGGCCCATAACCAGTCCGTGATGTGTCGGCCTCACACAGCGTGTGCCCAGGGCGCAACCACCCGAGCCCTGGGCTCAACTGTACAGCGCAGCCCTTTGCTTCTGAAAAGAGCCTTGAGGCTCACGTTGCTCCGTAACCAACTGGCGTGCTGCAACTGTCTGAGTACCCACATACGGAAAAATGTTGTAAACAGGCCTCACATGGATATTCAGGCCCGCCTTCACTTAGGGCGGGCACGGACTTGCTGGGGACCACAGCCCAGAACACTTGTATGTCTGATAAGGGCTCTGTGGGGCTCATTCCTCGCACATACGTCACACGCCTTTTCACATCACATCCATTAGATAGCACAAGTTGACCCAGCGCGGTGAAGCCGCACCCAAGTCCTGCCTATACACGGCAGGAAGCGTGACAATGTCGGTCTGTGTGTGTGTGTGTGTGTGTAGGATGAGCAAAATCAGAATGAATCTTCAGCCAGAACATGGAAATATACACCGCCACACCATTTTTATTTTTTATTTTTTTTCATGTGTGCATCAACTGAGCAGCATGCCAATGTGCAAAATGAGAAGGAATCTTCTGCAAGAACATAGGAAGATACACCGCGACGGACAGATACATTGAAAAGAAATCCCAGTGTGAGTATGGACTAATCGCGCGCGCGCGCGCGAGAGAGAGAGAGAGAGAGAGAGAGAGAGAGAGAGAGAGAGAGAGAGAGAGAGAGAGAGAGAGAG